ATTCAACCAAAATATATGAAACGTAAAGTAGCATGTTTCTTTTCTCGGTGTAATTTTAGGACCAAGTTTTGGGGAAAATGATTGGTTATACTGATGCAAGAAATGGCTATACTACCTTGTTATCACCAAAATCCCTCATAATCTATGTAATAGTGTGGGGCTTCATGGCTTCTCAAACTCCACATTTTGTTATTGCATAAAATTTTGGGCTACTTTCTCCAAATATGAAAACCTCTATTCATCAAATGATTCTATGTGAAACTACAACCATGCGAACTATCCAAAGCATTTCAGCTCATTCATGGTGCCATTTGGGGACCTAATAAAACTACTATGAATCTGAAGGTTCATAACATTCATTTATGATCATATGCGTGTGTTGGGTATAGCTCATGAGTCGGCTTGCTTATTATGAAAGAGATAAAACAATATTACTTCAATTTAGTGTTATAATAAAATGACAAATAAAATGAGCAATTTTGATATAAAAAATAAGAAATCACTTCATATACAAACATATTTTTTATTTCATATTTTTTTTAAAATTAATAGATAAAATCTTGAATTTTAATATATTTTGAGTGTATTACTATTAAATTTTAAAATAAGAAGAACTCATCAGTTAGCTCGGCAAATTGGGCTTAACTTGAGCTTAGATTGTTAGGTTATTGAGCTCAGCTCACGAACGATCTATCAAGCCGAGCCTGAGCGAGCTCACAATTCGGCTTCGCTCAACTAAACCCTTATAGTTCACACTGACAATCGAAAAAAAAAATTCTCACATGAATTTTCTCAAAATTTGAATCAAAATTAGATTCACCATCAAAGCTTTTGATTATCCCCCTCAACTAAATAGAATAACTAAGAAAATAGTGTTTGTTAGAAATGACAAATTCAATTATGTTCACAATTTATGTTGCAAAAATCTTATTAGAGAGAATATTATCCTCGCATCAACCTACTTGAATAGCTATCCACCATCTTATATACTAACTTTTTGAAATCTTATAAATGCTCTTCATGATTATGTCATCACTTAAGAATTTTATATCCATTTTCTCCAAGATTTCTTGGGTTATGCTACTTTCATAAAAATCACCAACCAAATCAAAGTAAATTTGATCCAAGGGTTGTCAAATGTATTCATGGAATACTCCACAAATCAAAAGGCTATAAATGTTACTCTCCAAGATTAAGAAAATTCATAGTATCAATTGATGGTGCGTTCCTTGAAGATAATCCCTTCTACAAAATAATACAAGAACAACATAAATATCATTGGGATTCCACCATCTCTTCTTATTTTTCAAAGTAGTTATGGCATTCATTGATTTGCATCTTAGTTCCATCATCCAATTTCCTACCAAATCTCTTCACAAATTCACCATGACTGATAAACCATAATGGAGAAACGCAATATCATGGATTCAAAAAGTACAAAAATACCATAACAAGACCCTTGGAAGATAGACTAGATGAAAGAGTTGTGCGTGATTACTTTGAGTTACCTATTTGACATGTTTTAAACTATTTCCACAATTCAAAACTTTTACTACAACCATTGATGGCATTGTACTACCCAAAAAATCCTGTCATGCACTTCAAATTCTAAAATGAAAAAGCTATAGTTGAAGAAATGAAAGCTCTTAAGGAAAATGGCACATGAGATACCATCAACTATCAAAAAAATAAGAAAGCGATTGGAAGCTAGAGTTTACCGTAAGGTAAAGCCAGCAATAAAATTGACAAATACAAAGCAAGACTAATAAACTAAGGATTCAGCTAAATTTATGAGACTAGCCACAATGAGAAATTTGAACTGTAAAATCGAATATTAAATAAGCTGATTATTCAAAATTACAAACCTAGATTGAGAGCTACATGAAAAAACATGAGCATTCCTCCAAGGTTTCAATTAGGAGGGGGAGGAAAAGCTTGTAAGTTTAAAAATCAATATATCATTTAGAACAACTCTCACGTGCTTGGTTTGCTAAATTTAGTTACAACATTTGTTGGGACACAGACAAGAAAAGGCTGATAACATTGTTTTTTTTTTCCTTAATTTAGAAAATAATGGAAGACGTCTATACTAATTGTATATGTAGATGAAACTGTTATTACAGATGATGATACCCATGAAATAAATAAATTAAAACGGAGGTCAACTAGGGACTTTGTAGTAAAGATCTGAAAAAATAAAAAATATTTCCATGAAATGAAAATTGCTAAAATTAATAGCAATATTTATGTTTCCTAAAAATGTGCTCCTGATCTACCCAAGAAACTGAAAAATAGGAAGTAAACATATTATTACTTCATTTGAGAAAGATTAAAATAAATAAGGAATTGTTGATATTGGTGGCTAGAAATGTTCATCTATCACTAACTGGACCAAAAATTACACATGCGATGAGAGAGATAAGTTAATCAATGTATTATCTAAATCAAAAGTACTTAAATTGTGTAAATAAATTCCTGAAATATCTTAAAAGAAATCTAAGTAGATGCCTAGCGATGCACAAAACCTACAAAAAGAATTATAAGGAATAAATTAATGCAAATTAGGCATGGAGTAAAGATGAGAAATCTACCTCAAGTTTTTACATAAATTATTGGGAAAAATTATCATTTGGAGAAATAACAAATAAATTGTGATAGTTAAAACAGTATTGAAGCAAAATTTTATGGCATTGCACTAGTACTGTGTAAAGTAATCTTGCTAAAGATGTTGATGGAAGATTTACAAATAAACAATACACTTGAAACTCCCTATAAAAGCAAATCAATATTGCAGATAATCCTCCTCAACATAACAAGAAAATAACATGAAAGAAATGATCAATCATTTATAAAAAAAGAGAATGAGAAAAGTGAAATAAAACTATATATTTCTATTATCCTACAAAAAGCTGTTGATCTCACATAAATTTTAACCAAAAACACTTTCGAATGAATGCTAAGAAAATTAGGAATGATAAATATCTATTCCTAGACTTGAAGTACAGTTGATAAAATTAGTGAATGATACTTATTTCTACACTAAGTTAATTTGGAATGAAAGCTAAGATAAGTTAATCCATGATTACATATGTTGTTGCCCCCTTTCATTGTGCCTCCTTGGTTAAAAACACAGCTATGCATACTAGCCTTAACTAATGTCTTCAGTAAAATCTAGCTATTAATTCATGATTCCAGCACATCCACTGCCTATTTCGCCCGTGCTGATTGAAAATTTATTTTTGTCCATGAGTTATTCATTACCATATTTACCCTAATTTGAACATCAACACATTCCATAGATATAGTCTTAGCATTCACGTCTATAAGAAAGAGGCAACAAGAGTAAATATAATTTAATTACTTGCAACATCAGTCTCTTTATTATTTTTATGAAAATGTGTATAAATAACATGTAATACAAGATAAAAAATAAGAGAATTTTCTACTCTTATAAAAAAAAAAAGATGCAGCCCAAAAACATTAAGACTATCTGGAAAAATTTAATACTCCCATCGATTCAAACGTGGTAAAGTAGTACACAAAAAAAATAAAGCCGAGCAACTCAAGATTCTAAACTTTACAATAGGACGATTCAACATTCAAAGTTCTAATAATGAACTCCTTTACACTTAGGAGCTATTTGGTAGCCTATTTAAGAAGGATTTATGTGGGATTTAAGATAAATCCTGCCAAATGGCAATAAAACACCTTCGTAAAAATTGAGCTTCCATAAATCCCAAAAAGACGTTGATTCGCGATAGATCCAAGAATTACAAAACCTTGCAAATCAACAAATTTAGTAAATCTGGGACAAACAAAGAGAAAGAATGGCACGAACAAGATTACCTTCCTAAAAGGTTTGTGGTAGGATCGGAACGGAAGAATGAAAGAGATGGGAGTTTCCATGATCTATGTAAGCCTCAATCATGCCATTGCCTTCCCAGCTAGCTTTAATGACAATGCAACTGTATTGCGAATGTTCATTCACAAAGCTGGTGGTGGTTTTGGGAGAAATTGGTAGAGGGAGTGACATAAGCAAAAGTTTGGGGCGGAGATGGGAAGTTTGGATGAAATCGGGAGATGGGGGGATGTAAACGAGGGTTTCAAGTAGAGAGAGGAAGAGGGGGATAGGTTTATGGTTTTAATTTATTTTTATTTAAGTTAATTTTAATAATTTAATTGATTAATAATTAATAATTTATTTATATATCATGAAATTAATTATAATTAGAAAATTTTGTATTTAATTATTTAATAGTTGATTAATGAATAAAAATATATTTTAAATTCTAAATTATTAAATAAAATCCTAAGTAATTCTTAATTTATATAATTAATAATTGATTAATATTTAATTATGACTTGATAAGTAACTAGTTTACAAAAAAATGTTATTTATTAATTAATGCTAGGTTTACATACTCATTTGCATTTTTTTATTTAATCTTTATTTTTTGATGTTTAATAAATCATGTTAAATCCTTCTAAAGCTACCAAGCAGTTTATCATAATTTATTAGGATTTACTTACTGATATACTAAATAATTTTCAGGATTTAACCACCTCATAATTTAATATATCCGGATATACATAATTTACTAAATTCTCTTTAAATTAAATCTTACTTTCAACCAAACAGACCCACCAAATAGTCCATTAGGGAGTGTTTAGCTTTAGCATTACTGGGATTCAGTAAAACCGCAAATCATAAACCCATGAAATCCACCATATCCCTGGATTTAATAGATTCGGGTTTAAGTCAAATTGAAGACAAACTTGAGACCCTAAATCCAAAAATTCAAAAATCCACAAAACTCCAACATTTTAGCATTTAAGTATAATTTGTAAATCCGGTGATATATCCCATTAAAAGGTGCTACGAAACACCCCCTCAAGGTGGAGTAATATCAAAGCAAAATTCTAGCTCAAACAGAAAATGTTTAAAAATCAAATAAATTAAAAAAAAAGAAAAAAAAGTATAAAGGTGTGAAGGAGATTACCTCCGTCTACCATATTGCGGCATCCATCCAGGCGCAACCATACGTACCAGAAACAACAAAATTAGACACATATCAATAGAAACAAAACAAAAAGCAAATCAATCGTTTCTCAAAAGTTTCATCTTATTATTCAAGGAAATCACCTCCCTATACTTCTGCATATATAATTTCAGTGGGTCGATGTACTCTTCAAACCCCAGCGTCGCCATCGCCCACAGCAGATCATCTCCATTTATCGTCTTCCTCTTCTCCCTCTGGCACTTCTCGCTCGCCCTGCACCAACAATCGCTTCATCATACACGAAAAAAACAAGAAAACCCAAACCGCTAGCAAAATAAATTCCACATGTTCAAATAAACGGGACAGTTAACTCGCTGGTGACGAAGCTTATGAACTCCGAGACGCACTCCTGCATCGTCTCCTTGGCATCCTTCGCAATCTTTCCATTCGGAGGGAGCGCCTTCTTCATGATCCGGCTAATATTGGCGACCGGAAGATACCGGTCCTGCTCTCGCATATTGGATCTCGGGCTTCGCTCGCCGTTCTCGCGGCACCCATCGCCAGGGCTCGACATCTCCAACAACCTAGAATCGCCGCCACCGCGTCGCCGGCCAGCGAACAAGAAGGAATCAGAAACGACAATTTCGACATCTCCACCCGTGCGGTTCGGAAACCCTGAGTACAAATGCGTACCTCGATAAATTCGCGCGCAAGCGCTTGGGATGGGTTAGGGAGGAGAGAGAAATCGGAACTTTATCAGCGCTGCTCGGAAGCGGAGAAGAATGATCGGACGCTGGAGAAGACAGGAGGAAGGAGACGACTGGGATGAGAAATCTGGATGAAAGCTTGGGTATCTGCACCGTTCGATAACCGTTCGATAAGCAGGTTCCCTGGTTCCCTCTCTCTCTCTCTCTCGCTTTCCCAGAGTATTTATAGCGAGACTTGCGCCCCTTGATCGCTCCCTCCATCATTTGCGTTCGGTTATCGGGCGCCATTGCATCGCGGTGGAACCCCTATCATCACCGTTCGTTAGGCTTTTTTCTTGCGCCTAGAATTTGCCTCATAAAATATTATTTTTTTTAATTACTATTTTAAATTTTACTTTTTGACATTATCAAAATTAGATCCAATTTGACATTATTATATTGTGTTGCATTTGGATCTAGGTAATTTATTCTTATTTAACATATATATTTGATTTATTTTATATCATAATCTTAGTATTATATGCTTTATAATGCATATAATGGACCAAATTTATCCATTATCTAATAATTTTAGTAGATATGTTCAAAATTGTATTTCAAACAAAAATGTCAAGGTTGTATGAAAACATAAATTATAATCCTAATATAAAGAGACATGAACCTTCAAATATCTCTATCATCCATCATCCCACTACATTATATCTTTGTTGATCTCCAAGTTTGTGTGATTAATTTATTCTAAAACTTCGTGGCTACAATTTATGCATTTCAATCATTCCTTTTCCTTAGTTAATAATTTTATAACTAGTTATTTAAGTTTAAAGCACTTGAATTATTAGCAATTATGGGTTCTAATATGAAGAAGACTATAGCAAAATCATAACTTTAAAAGACCAATGAGGATTAAATTTTGATCATATGTTAAAATCTAAAGTCTGCAATACATACAACAATGTATTAAACTTTAAAATCATATTTGAATTTTATGTAAGTTGTGAAAGCATCTGTTCATGCTAAATCTTAAGAATAACATAGGAAGTTTTAGTTATGTTTTGATTTAGTTTGAAACTTTCGCCCAAATCTTGCTTGGACATGTTCGAAGAAGGATCGCAAATGGTTGAACCAACACTTCTATTATGTGTTGTCTTTCTTTTATGAAATTAATTTAGTTTCATTTGTTTATTAAATATCTAGATGTTTACTATAATCATTTATATATAAAGACATTACATGTGTCGCATACCCCGGCCTTAGTTGGCATCCATGATATAAGACCCCTCAGGTCGGGGGTTCGAATTCCCTCTAGCACAGTTGGCCTTAAAGAAGTGGCTCTCAAATTGTTAGGCACATTAGGGGTAGTTGAAGGCTTCTATAATAGTCTCAGACCATTCCTTTCAATATATATATATATATATATATATATATATGTCACATGTGGAATGTCAACTATTATGTGTAAAGTTATTATGTTATTTAATGCTTATGAACTTCTTAAGAGAATTATGAAAATCTTGATTTAATGAAGAATAGAGTACAAATTCTAAATTCTATAATTTTTAAAATGCGAGATTTGGTTTATGTTCTTTATAATAATACAGAAAAGTATCATGTGTACAATGCTGACTGATCGAGATTAGTTTCATCAGTATTAAGTGATTGAAACACCCTCATCTGAGGCAGAACAAGAAGCCTTATGATATTGTGTTGCGGCTATTATGCTTATGTTTTTATTTTTTAAAGTTATTGTCTATTTTGTCCAATTGTTATGATTAGACTTTCATGCATCAATTTTGCAGTTTGATGTGTTACCATATATAAAACCCAATTCCTATGTATTTACATATCTTAGAACCTAACCTTCAATTTTTTACATTTATAACAATTAAACTCTTCAACAAATAAAAAATACTGCTAATTTCAATACTTTTAGAAAGTGAAGTACGCATTTTTTATACATAAGTAAGATAATGTATGTACGTAAAAATTGAAATTAGGTATTAGATATATACATACATAAAATTTGAGTAGTATGCAAATCTTCCTTTTATTTGAAGGTCAATTAAGTATAACTATTTACAAATTCAGCCATCCTTTCATCAATCGCATTGATTTAATGATTAAAGAAATTACCTAGACGCTAGTTTTGTAAATAAGAATACTTCGACTGTTGTGTAATTATCCTTTTCAAAATGAGAACTCATTAAAGGAGTGTTTTGAACCACGTGAGTATGTTATATAAAGAATGATCTTACTTTATCGGAACTAAATTAAAATATGCCGCTCAATAGGACACATTGGAGAAAAATGATTCATGTAACCAACCCCATTTAGTAGGATAAAATCTAGTTTTTATATGCTAAACTATCAAATATTTTAAATATATATGAAAATTTTAACTATTTATATCTAATAATTTCTTATCATTTCCCCTTCTAATTATCAATCCTATTATTTTAGTATACCGATTACTTGCATTAAAATTATTTTCGCTTTCATTGTAAATGAACGGCTTATCGTCCAACACAAACTCATGCTCGAACTCAATGAATCAAGCTCAAAATAAATGTGGTTCAAGCTGAAATTGACTAAATGGATTAAAACTTCACCAATCTTAGGAGCACCACCACATTTGTACGTGGCTTCTCTGTCGCTTTCTCCAAAGATAAGAGGGCAAAGAAATACATCATAGATCTGCATTTTAGAAGAACAACAAACAAGATAGACTGCCTGCTTCAAACCCAGCTAACGATGACTCGGAACAAACTCAGCAACAGCAAGTAAATTTTATGATCGGAAGGTTCTGTGCTTCCAAACTTTCTGCTCAACATTTCACCGACAAGAAGAATAATTACATACATAGCACTTGAAACAATGCTATTTATAAAACTAGCACCGAAGTGAATTTTTTTAAACTACCAAACCAAAGAATTAAAGCGCGCCCCGATCAAAGCATTGAGAATATGATGAAAATAAAAAAAATAACATGTTGGGATTTTATTGTGAATTTTAATAGATCCATTTACATACATATCACACAATTCTAACGGATTTACATATCTCGCATCTAAACTTTCATATTTACACACATACATACGCTCTATTCTTTAATGTCACGTCAAATATAGTAACACTATTACCACTATTATCATTTTTTTAGAAGTCGAATACACATTTTCATGCACAAAATTTAAAGCAACAAAAATGCTATGTATGTATGCCAATATGAAAGTTTTGGTGCGAGATACGTAAATACATAAGAATTCTATGCTACATATGTAAACTTCCCTTACCAATATGCGTGAGAACTTGAAAAATGAATGAAAGACGGTGCTAGTTTTGTAAATAGCATTATTTTAAGTGCCAACGAAGAGAGAGAGAGAGAGAGAGAGAGAGAGAGAGAGACCAAAATTGAGCTTGGCTCTTTAGACTCACAACAACAAGAGAGCCGAAATATCAAATCATTATTTTCACGAGCATAACTGAAAGCCATAACCTAATCCAAGCAACCAGCCTCTCCCAGTCTGAATCATGAGCAAGAAGGAAGACACATGCTGACATGATGCAATGCTGCAATTAAATACCTATCTTACACAGTCCACACCTAACAATTTCTTCAGGAAATATAAACTGACATGAAAGATATGGATTAGAGACTCAATGAGCAGAGTTTATTATTTATTCTCCAGGTAAACCTAGGCACAATATGTAATTACAACATTACCCCTGTACCATACCGCGGGGCTTTGCCCCCGTACCCCAACCCACGTAACTTCCCAATTTGGACAGATTCTTCCGCTCCGCTCTGCTCCGCTTCGATCCAGCGTCTGTCCCGATATGGTATATGAGCCATACCATAACATTAATGAAGTTGCAATTAATGCAAAAACAGCTAATTAGAAAGCAATAGGGTTATTAAAACCAAAAGAGTATGGAAAACTAACGGAAAAAACAATTTGAAAAGCAATGAAACAATGAATTGCTCATCAAATTTAAAGAAACAAATATGAAACAATCAAACAGTCGTATTTTGCAGATAAACATAATGTAGGAAAAAAATGAAAGTGTAAAAATGATTCCCTAACTCTTTTCAGAGAGCCAATGCAATCCCAGAGTTTATAAAATTGTTGATTTAGTCCCCAGACAGTCCCCAGACTCTTTTAATATGGGTTGAAATAAGCCCAATGATAACCTTGGATTAAAATAATATACGGACTAATTTAGCACATTAACAAACTGACTAAAATGGACCCATGTCTCAACTCTACTATAATCATATTTTTGTAAGAGCCAGCAAATTCATATTTGAGATTGATTAAATTTCAAGTCGTGCTTGATCTCAAGCTTGAGCACGAACCCACTCTTAGAATGTTGAGTCAAGTCATCCCCACGTCAAATTGACTAAGCTCAGTTACATCCCTACTCTCTACCACCATTAGACAGCAGTAATTTTAAAATCCTTGATGCAAATAATTAGCAACTTAAATACAACATTGGCATTAAAATTTTGCCATTCTCACCAAATTTAAGTCAAATAAAAAAAATTTAAACTCCTCCCCAGCTTAGAATGCCACAAAATCGATCGGGAACGAGTTTAGCTGGCTAGTTTTTACAAGTTCATAACTTGATCCCAAGGAGCCGAGTTCCTAGACTCCAAAACTCGAGCTCTTTCAATAACCAGGCTTGCATATAAGCTAGTTCCAAGCTTGTTGACCCGAGTTAATAAATTTTGGAATACCATAAGTCAAGTGATCGAATGGTGAAGTAACTCTCTAATTGAGAGGTCAAGGAATTAAAGTCATTCAAAAGAAAAGGCATATTATTCACAAAGCATTGAACTTAAAAAAAATATATAACTTCACAAAATTCTAAAACCTTTTAGTGTAATATGACCCATCTAATCCATGACTCCAGGACAAAAGAGGCCACGACGCAAAAGTTTATATCATTTAGGGTGTACTAATGTAAATTCAGGACAATATTTAAGCGAAAATAAAAACTACACACAAAACCCACAAATTAAAACTTCTCAACTCTTATTTTAGGAAAAGAATAGTTCTTTTTAAAACAAAATTAGAAAACACATTTACTTTGCTCCAAATGATAATATAAAATTCACAAAATATAAAATTCTACGATAAATCTTAGATCAAATGTAAA